CCTCCCCAGCGTCTCTGAGACCCGGATGTCAGGAAGTGCTGCACGTGTTCATCCTGCCCTATGGTCTCCCAGGGCCAACTCTGTTCTGGGATCCAGGTTCCCCTCAATCCTCGCTCAGTGCTCTCACCTTGACTCCAAGCAAGACCTGGATTCTCTCCTGTGCCCGCCTGAGACCCCCGAGGAGTGTTCTTTTTAAAGCTCATTGTTTGTTTTAATCCAATGGAAAAAAAAAAAAGATAAAAACTGAAGAATAAGATCTATAAAGAAAAAGCACAAATATTAAGAGTGGCAAATGGAAAAGGGCAGTCAGGGGATGAACTGAAAGCCAAGTTCAACTTTCAGATTGTCCTGGCAAAACTGTCATTAAAGTGAAGGATTAAGGCCCACCTGAGCACAATATCTTAAACTCAGTAAGTCTTAATGAAAAATCTACTCGTATATGTCCTTACAGTGCTTTCAAATACAGTTTTCTGTTTATATGACTACAGATACACACATGTGAAAAATACAGAAAAGTACAAAGAAGAATATACAATTAAAAACCGAATCCACCACCTATTACTAATGCCTTCTGTTTTTAAGGAGAAGGGCTACTATTTTCATTATTGCAACAAAAATTTCAAACTTTTTGAACTATAACAGTCAAATAAAATTAATAACCCAACATCTAACTATAGAACTATGGAAACTCTAATCTAGAAAAGTCATGACATGACCAAGACCACCCAGATTCTCATATGTCCAATCAGGATAAGAAATTAGTATTCTCTAACTTATAGCCTAGTTCTTAAAGGGCAAAATCTTTCAGGCAGTAATCCCTAGCAAGAACCAAAATTTGTCCTCAGCCCTGGAAGAGCTGTGATTTACAAAATACCAGCTTCTTTGTAAGATGAGACCTTGATGCCGAAAAGAATTAGCGTTCCTTAGGTTTTGTAGCTCTCTAATTAAAGAGGAGTTTTAGACTTACCCCCCAGAGGTTTTAATATTGTTACTTTAATTTATAGCTGTTCTTTAATTTTAATAGTCAAATGAAAGTTTTAATTATAGTCAAGCAGGTCTTCATATGGAAAGATGGCACTGCTGACTCACCTTCCAGAGACCACGTGTTTTCAGTTATTTTCTGGGGGTGAAGGTAACCACACTGAATATTTTACCCATCCTGGTTCAAACAGCATACATTTGTCCAAGATCTCTCTAGACAAAGCTAGGACCGAGACCACATCTACAGAAATACCCAGAATTAAGCTGCCATGTCAAATCAAGAGCCTTGATTTTAGCTGCTTTATACACCAAGCAGCCTGTCATAAGCTGTTACAAACAGAACACTTCATTATGTTAACAGATGGTCTGTGTACTAACAAGATATGAGGAGTACTGAAATGTTAAAAACAAATCTAGGGCTTCCCTGGTGGCGCAGTGGTTAAGAATCTGCCTGCCAAGGCAGGGGACAAGGGTTCGAGCCCAGGACGATCCCACATGCCACGCAGAAACTAAGCCCGTGCGCCACAACTACTGAGCCTGTGCTTTAGAGCCCACGAACCACAACTACTGAGCCCACGTGCCGCATCTACCGAAGCCCCGCGCTCTAGAGCCCGTGCTCAGCAACGAGAAGCCACCGCAATGAGAGAAGCCCGCGCACCGCAATGAAGAGTAGCCCCCACTCGCCGCAACTAGAGAAAGCCCGCGCGCAGCAACGAAGACCCAACACAGCCAAAAATAATAAATTAAAATAAATAAATATTTTAAAAATCTAAAAAAAAAAAACTAGGTCGAATACTTGGTAGCCAATTAAAAGATGTTATCTTTTGTTGTTTTTGTTCACTTTCTTTCAATAAACTTTATATTGTTTGTCACAACTAAGAAACTAACAAGGCTACGTTACTGTTAACTAAAGCAAGACTTCATTCCAATTTCACCTGTTTTTCCATTCAATGTCCTCTTTCTGTTTGAGAATTCAATCCAGGATTCCACATTGCGTTTAATCATCAAGTCTTCTTAGTCTCCTCTGGGCTGACAGTTTCTGCATCTTTCCATATTTTTTCATGAACTTGACAATTTCCAGTAGTGTCCGCCAGGAATTTTATACAATGTCCCTTCATTTGGGTTTGCGTGATGTTTTTCTCATTAGACTGAGGTTATGTTATGCATTTTGGGAAAGTGCCAAAGTTCCCTTCTCTTCATAACATGTCAGCAGGTACCTGATATCTACATGACATCACTGAGGATGTTACCCTCCATCACTTGGTTAAGGTGCTGTCTGCCAGGTTTCTCCACTATAATATTGCTGTTTTTCCCTTCCCTGTCCATACTCTATTCTTTGGAAGGAGTCACTAAATCTAGCCCAGTGTGGGTGGGAGCTGGGGAGGGATTAATCTTGCCCTCTTGCAATTCAGTTTTTTTTTTTTTTTTGCGGTACGTGGGCCTCTCACTGTTGTGGCCCCTCCCGTTGCGGAGCACAGGCTCCGGACGCGCAGGCCCAGCGGCCATGGCTCACGGGCCCAGCCGCTCCGCGGCATGTGGGATCCTCCCAGACGGGGGCACGAACCCGCGTCCCCTGCATCGGCAGGCGGACTCTTAACCACTGCGCCACCAGGGAAGCCCAATCTTGCCCTCTTGGATGGAGAGTATCTAGATACATCACTTGGAATTATTCTGTAAGGAAGATGTGTCTCTTCTCCCCTACGATGTTATTATCTCTTCATGCCCAAAGCATGGTGACCAGGCAAATTTTCATTCAGAGAAAACTTCTTTTGAAACTCAACAGTTCATTAGAGAGCCATTATGATGAAAATCAATTATTGCCAGACACTGAATGCTCTGTTTTTAGGAAAATTTCACCTCGCCATCTAGGAGAAATGAGACATTTCACTGTCTAATTAACAGTGAACTTGAGGTGGAATAAGAAACAAAAGAGTAGGGAAAAAAGGAGTGAAGAGGGTGGAAAGGAGAAGAAAAAGGGTCAGGCCAGCTGAAGTGCCCACCCACTGGTATAATGAGTTATTCCCTGCCACGTATGCCCACTCAGCGGGAGGGAATTCCTCCCAGGTCACTAGCTGTTCAGGTCAACTTACCTAGAGACAGGTTTTTGCCTGGTTATTAGTCCACTAATCAACAGCCATTACGCCTTATGCATTTGATGCAAATGTATGCATCTCTGACTTGTAACAAAAACGGTTTTACTTGGGTGTCAGTCTACCCAGTCTACCACTATGGATAAACTCTATCTGAAATGATTAAGTGGTTTAAATAATTATAATCAACTACGCGTATTATCATGGATGCACAAGTTTAGCTTTGTTCACCAAGCCCTTTCATTGACTGGGAAAATGTTTTCTGATATATGACAGGTCAACATCTTGGTTCTCTTGTCTAGATTCCTTTTATTTCCTCTTTCTCATTTTGTTGTTTTTGCTGTTCTCCCTTTCTTATGTATTTTTCCAGGGGATTTTACAGATTTCTTAATAGATTTTTCACCAGAGCTTTACTATCCTGGGGAACCTCTCTGCAAATCCTGTTTTCTTTTACCCCTTTGTACCCCCATGGAAGACATGGGTTACTTGCCTTTAGAACTCTGCTGACTTTTGGCACCTGCAGAGTTACACACACACACCCAGCCTCCACCCCCCTCCCCCGTGTGGGAAGTGGTTCTAGACTTCCCTTTTAAACTAGCAGGTGCCGTGGTCAGAGGAAATCCTGTCATCTGGTGAGGGAAAGACTAGTGACTTGGCTGCATCCCACCTGGTGAACCATCTGGCTGAAAAGGCAACAAATCAGTCTCTGGGAGGATGCCTGGTTTTGTCCCCTTAAAGCATCCCTACGTGGCCCACGTTATAGGATCCAAGGAGCCACAACACCCAACGTTTATGGTCAGCAGTGTGATAATTATGAAGACTTTGATTCTATTAGATCAGAATACATCTCCATCCTCCCAACATGGAAAGTGGCAAAGAAGTTGATTGACTATTCACAGTCAGGGCCAAGTAAGTAGCGAGAGAAACAAACAAGGAGACAGAGCAAGGCAGAGGATGCAGAGATAAGCTGCTGCCAGTGGATGATGCTCGCAATTGAAAACAATGTTTTAATTAATGAACAAGTTGTGGATCTAGATGCCAAAGTACAGGAAGTGCAGACCACATGATGAGCTGCACCATTCAGTAAACAAATCCAGACTGTGAGAAACTTTACAAGTCAAATACCCCAGGTACTTCAACAAAAAGAAACTGTAAGGAAAGGGAAGCACCAGAGGGGGGATCTGCAGATGAAAAGACACAAGTTTTAAAAAATGACTCAGACTCAATTTGCGTTAAGTTAGACTATAGCACCTAGGGGTGCACACCCAAATGATAAAACCATAAGAAAATGAAAGCAAATTATTAGTATAAATGTACAGAAGGGGTTCATTTGGGGGTGCTGAGACTGGAATGGAGCCCAGGTAGGCTCCTGGGGTAGGTGGCCAAGTTCTATTTCTTGACCTGAGTGTCCATTAGAAGAGTTGGATGTTTGCCTCATAATAACACATTAAACTCTATGTTTGTGGGGTTTTGTAGTTTCCTTTTTTCAATTTTACAATAAAAGGTTAAAATGTCTCTAGTTACCAGTAATTATAACTTGGGAGGTTGCACATTTAAAAATCCCTATCTCTGCCTTCTCTTGAATAATTGGAAGACTTGGCAACACTGGATCCGTGTTTCCTTATGGTTAAGTGGCTTGAGCTAAGAAGGGGCTGCTTCCTCTCTCGACAGAGCTTGACCTCTCCAGTTATTTATGTGACCTGTGCTGGGCACCTGTAAACACATGAATCTGTGACCCCTGCGGTGGGGAAAACTAGCTCTTTCCTACACCTTTCACTGGCAAGATTCCTATACGTTGTACATAAATTCAATAGAAAACGATTCAACTCACATTTCTCAAGCACGTACTCCACAGAGCTCCACGCCAGGATCTCTTCTGTCCCTCTCCAGCCCAGGAGCCTCCAATCTGGGGGAGGGAAATCGAGATTTAGGTAATTACCCTACTCCAGAGAGGGGTAGACTCTAAGTCTTCATAGAAAGTACCAGCAGAATGCAGTGGGGATTGCAGGAAGACAGAATCAAGGTGAGCGAGGATCTAGGGAGACTTCTTGGAGGATGTGAAAGGACTTGGGCCTTGGAAGGTAACTGAGATGAGGCTGGGGCATGGAGGGAAGAAAGAGTCTGATGGAAGGGAAAGTCTGAACCCAAGGACACGGCTGGAGGTTGTAGAGCAATGTTTGGATTAGATTCCCAGTGCTGGTGAGTGATGGATGTGACTGGTGAGTCACAAGATACAGCTGACTTGTCAAGTTACTTGAATGATAATGATGCCATTGACCAAGTGGGGAGGACAAGTTCTGTAGACAGGATGACTTTAAGCGATGATCACGTGGAGATGTCTAGCCAGATGGAGCCCGAGAGAGAGTCAGATGGAATCCAAAGGAATCCTAGAGTCATCAGGTTAAAGAAACTTACTAGGTAAAGCCATGGGGAAAGGAAGAGCATAGACAAGGAAGAATGCAGACGAGGAAGAGTGTAAGCTCAAGGTTGGCTCATTGCACAAACCAATATTTAAGGGATAGTAGAAGAAGTACAGCCAGAGAAAAAAATGAGTGAAGAGAAGCAGGAGAATTTAGGACCAGGGGAGACACTGGAATGACCATCCAAATAGTGACAGGTGGATGAGAGATGAAATTTTCCAGGATGAGGGAGGACAGACCTTGTCTACTTGGCCATTTAGATTAAAAAAAAAGGGAAAGGCTATTTGGACATCCATGAGAAGTAGCCATTTATTTTTCCTAACTAAGCAATGTCATTTATTCTCATGCCGATTTTCTTTAAATTTAAAAATAACTGTGTTGACAGGTTTGTTGCATCTTTACATTTCCTAAGTTGATATTTTTGATTAATTTCAATGAAGCATCTTCAACATTCTATGTCAATAGAGGTGTAAAGTCCTCAAGAAGAGTTGAGAAGAGATGACCAGTAGCCATCATTTTCTTTTTTTTTAATTGAAGTATAGTTGATTTACAATGTTGTATATGCCATCATTTTATATTTCCACCATAAAGATGGTACCTGTAACATAATCAACCTCGAGAGCATAGATTGTAGTAAAATGTAGTAAAATAATTAGGCAGTGATGAGTTATGAGTATCTATGACCTTTACTTTTAATATAATTTATTTTGTTGTACGTTTATATCATTTAATTTTTAATAGTGGCTGTGTTTAGCAAGCAGCTCTCAAGTTTCTAAAAAAATTTTAACATCTGGAATGGCTCACAAAAAACTGGTAACTAGCTACCTCGGGAACATGGGCTGGAGGTTCGGAGAACTTTTTCATTCACTCTATTCTATACTGTGTGATTTATTTTAAATAAACAGATGTGTATTACTGTATAATAATTTTTAAAGTTTAAGAATACCATATTAAATACCAGTTGTGTAACGAGAGGAGAGTTAAAAATATATATTTGCTTTCACGTATACGTTGGAGGCTAAGCAAGAAACTAGAAAAGAGAGCAAGGGAAATCTGTTGAAAGGGAATATACTTCTCATATTGTTTTAATATTTGAACCAGATAAATGTGTTCTCTGTTCAAACAATTTTAATAATTAAAAATACTTTTAGCAGTGGGGGAGGGATGGATTGGGAGTTTGGGATTAGCAGATGCAAACTATTACATAGAGAATGGATAAACAACAAGGACGAACTGTATAGCACAGAGAACTGTATTCAATATCCTGTGATAAACCATAATGGAAAAGAATAAGAAACAGAATGTATACATATGCATAACTGACTTACTTTGCTGTACAGTAGAAATTAACACAACATTGTAAATCAACTATACTTCAATGAAATAAATTTTAAAAATAAAAACTACAAATAAAAATACTTTTAAAAGGTCAACCTCGGGCTTCCCTGGTGGCACAGTGGTTAAGAGTCCGCCTGCCGCTGCAGGGGATGTGGGTTCATGCCCCGGTCCGGGAAGATCCCGCATGCCGCGGACCGGCTGGGCCCGTGAGCCATGGCCGCTGAGCCTGCGCGTCCGGAGCCTGTGCTCCGCAACGCGAGAGGCCACAACAGTGAGAGGCCCACGTACTGGAAAAAAAAAAAAAAAAAAAGTCAACTTCTATCCCCCATGTCCCCCAAATGGGAGAAAATTTGTACTGTTTATGATTACATACTGGAGACTCTGCCTCTCCTGAGGACATGCTCCCACTGAAAGCAGAAACTTTTTCCTGGTTTCCATGACAAATATGTGGCCAGGGCATCTTGAAAATGAACCTGGGAGTGACTCACTGTCCAGATAGGCAGCTGCATCAACACCGGCCTCACGACTCAGATAGGTAGGGTGCCACAGCTATAAGCAAACAGCAGTATTCAGGTGAAGACATTTTTTCCAGGTAGAAAGTGGAAGAGGGCCAGACATTCTTGAAGCTCTATCCATCCATTATTCCTCTCATACTAGTGTTGGAAATGAGTGTTTGACTAATCAACAGGTGATGTTTGTTCAAGGACTGCTGAAAGGCAGGCACCTGACCGAATTCAAAGCCCAAATTCTGAAGCCACTTCCTGGTTCTCAAAGAGCAGAAACTTCTTCCCGCGGCGCAGAAGCAGAAGTGCTGAAGGCCGCGCCCAATGATTCCAGCGGTGCACAGTTTTCCTTTATCACGCCAACGTCTGTTGTCCATCAGGAGCCCGAAAAGCATCTGCCTCTCCCGTCCTTCTACAAGCCCTTGCTGGAGCCACTAATGACGAGCAATTTCTCTTCCAATCATGGGAACTCCATGAGATGTGCGGTTGATCAAAATTAATGTTAAAGATCTAGTTTGAATTGAATGGGAATGCGATTTACAAATATGCCTCTGTATTCTTTTGAAAAAGCACAGCCGTGACACGTGAGAATGTTGATTGCAAACAAGCCCTAAGATGACTCTTAAAGATGAAATGACAGCACAGGCCTCCATCAGCCGTATCTTTTTTTTTTAAGATTATTTTACTTTTTAAAATTTATTTATTTTTGGCCACTCCTGCGGCATGTGGGATCTTAGTTCCCCGACCAGGGATTAAATCCACATCCTCTGCATTGGAATCGCGGAGTCCCAGTCACTGGACCGCCAGGGAAGTCCAGCCATATCTTTTTTTCTTTTTTTTTTTTTAATTTTTATTTTAAGGAGTTCCCTGATGGTGTAGTGGTTAGGATTCGGTGCTTTCACTGCAGAGGCCCGGGTTCAATCCCTGGTCGGGGAACTGAGATTCCACAAGCCGTGCGGTGCAACCCCCAAAGAATTTTCTAAAATACCATATTGGAGTATAGTTGATTTACATGCATCAGCCGTATGTTGACAGGGCCTTTGAAAAGATTCCCTATAACATGACATCTCTACAATGTTGAGTCTCGTCAAGCAGAACAAGCCCACAGGCCTACATAAATGAGTTGCTTTTATTTTCCATATTGTTGGCATATAAGTTTCTAAATGGCATTCATTGGTTTAGACGTCTAAGGTGGAACACATAAAAATCATGTTCACGTTAGAAGGAATGACAGAGTAAGAGATTTGCCTTTTTGCTGACATCATAGATAGCACGGGTTCGGACAAGCATCACCCATAAATGCTGAAACCACGTGGTAAAAGTTTGATGAGATACAGGAGACCTGAGTCTCAAAGTATCTCCCCACAGGTTATTAATGACAAAGGGAAAACGCTAGTTTCCCAGCAGAGAAAGCTGGTGGCAACTCTGGGAACAAGCGGTCCCTCGTCACCATCAGCGATGGCACAACTGGACGTCACGTGCCTCTCCTGTGAAACACCGAGGACACGACATCCCTCACCGGGCGCTCCTACCAAAATGATCGGATTCTACCCGTGAAAAAACAGGAGGCAAACCCAACTGAGAGAAAGTTGACAAACCAGCTGGTCTGTATTCTTCCGAAATGTGAGAGACAAAGAACAGCTGAAGGATGGTTTCAGATTAAAGAGGCACAAGAACTAAATGCCTCTCGTGAGCCTGCACTGGATCCCGGTGAGGAGGAAAAAAAAGGCTGGCAAAGACATTAACGGAGCAACTGGCAAAATTCAAATCTGGGCTTCAGCTTCGATGATAATAGCAGTACACTGGATGGTCCATTTCCTGAATTCAGTCTTGGTACTGTGGTTCTGTAGGAGAACGTCCTTATTATAAAAGCCACCACGTATTGAACACCTTTAACGTACGAGGTGCACGTATTTCTTTCAGCCCTCAGGAGAAGCCCACACGTTGGGACCATTCCCCTTCCCCACTTTGCAGAGGAGAAAAGAGAAGCTCAGAGCAGTTATGAAGCATATGCAAGGCTGCACAGCTAATAGGGAGCTGACCAGGAACAAGAGACAAGTCCAGTGGTGATGGCATGGAAGACTGTATCTTGTGTCTATTAGCACCTGGGAGGCTGGACAAAGGAATGGAAAACAGAGGCTCTTGGAGGAGTGTCAGAACTGGGGTGTACAGGGCGACTTGGGAAGGGCCTGGGGAGGTGAGAATTTTAAATCAATGCCAAGTGATTGACGAGTAGTGGGGGCTAGACTGAGAAAAGGCAGGAAACGAGGCCATGAGGAGGCAGGAGGCTGGGGGATGGATGTCTTGATAAATGTGCCTCTGACTCACACTGAGAAAACATCTTACATCACAGGCTGGTTAAACACACATACACACTCTCACATAAATAACTGAAACAAAGTTTGATTAAACAGTAACCTACCTTTACCATGCAGGACAGCCTGGTCCTTCCCGTTCTGTTGCTCTTTAGTGATTTGTTTTGGCTTGTTCATTTTTTTTGCTTTGCTTTGTTTTCCATGCTGGCAAGAATCAACTAAACTGATTTCCTGAAACTGGAAGGGGACAGGGTGGCTGTGGTTTGAAAACCAGGCTCTAGGGTGTGGCCCAAGCTTGAGGGGGCGCTGGATTGGGGGAGTCAAGGTTAGAATGGCAGTCAGCTCTCTAGTTTGGAGACCACCCTTTCGCCTTTCTTTCCTCAGCTAAGCCTAAGCCCCTCACAGCTCTGTTTGCCTGGTCCTGTGATCCAAAGCCTTAACCACGCCTGCACCCTAATGAAGCCCTAATTGGAAACACCTGTAGTACCAAGCATGGCAGCAAGGCCCCAAGTCACAACTGGCCTTGGTCAAGCCAAATACCTGAGAAATTCTAAACATACATAGACATCAACATACATAGGCGTCAGCTTCCAGGAGAAGAGGAAAGAAAATACATCATAGCTGTTTCAAGGGGATACGGTCAAAAGCGTTGCCTTCCTTGGGGCAGGCAGTCCTTAATGTCTGGGTTAGCGTCAATTGACCTCACCTCTTTCCGATCTGAATAATTAATTCTTTGCTACTTGGGTTGAGGACCTAAACAGATGGACTTTTTCGTATCCATCTCTCCTGACGGGAAACTTCATAACCTATTTCAGAAAAGCAGGCCTGAGTAGATGAAGGTTCAAAACATTAGTTGCCAATATGTTTGTTCTTGGTACATATATGTATTCACGCATCTCTGTGATAACATGGGGCTTTTAAAGAGAAAGTCAGTGGAATCTTTGAGGAATACTTTAGGCATATCTGTTTGGCTTCAAGAATTTATGTTTGGATATAAGAACTCACGGTGCTTTTGTCTTCCTAGCTGAAGTTAAACAATAATTTTTGAAATGATAACGTCAGGGTTACATATTACAATCCTTTCTTCAAATAACCCAGTTTATATTCTTTTTTTTTTTTTTTTATATTCTTTTTACTTTGTTGTTTTCTTTTTAATTTTCATGACTGGCCTCTCCAATTACTTCTACTACTATATTTACTTATTTTCCCAGATGGTATTTTGCATTTGCCTGGTGGACATTTCCAATTACTGTACCAGAACAATTGTTTTATCCTATGACCACCTGTGTTCCTCACCTCTGTCATCATAGTAAACATACAACCAATCCCAAACCTTTGATGTTCCTTCCATTCCATTCCCCTTGGTCCCCACTCACTCACAGCTCCTAGAAGTTTCTTCTTAGGACTCCTTATATCATGGAGTAAGTTTCTGATAAATATGAAAAAACTGCAATTATCTTCTCTCCTCCCACAAACCCACTTCTTCAGTAAAATGTCTCTGCCCACAGAGCTGATCACCAGTTTACCACTTCAACCATTGTGGTGTAACTAGATCTATGGGTCATGATTCCTAGTGGGTTAGATGGTGGCCCCCCAAGAGCTCTAAGCCCGTCAAATCCCTGGAACTTGTGAATATTGACTTACTTGGAAAAGGAGTTTTTGCATATTTAAGGATCTTGTGATGAAACCATCCTGGATTGCCTGAGTGGGCCCTAAATCCAATGGCAAGTGTCCTTAGAAGAGAAAAGAAGAGGAAAAGACACGGAGAAACTCATACATGATTGAAGACTAGCTTTTTTTTTTTTTTTTTTTTTTGCGGTACGCGGGCCTCTCACTGTTGTGGCCTCTCCCGTTGCGGAGCACAGGCTCTGGACGCGCAGGCTCAGCGGCCATGGCTCACGGGCCCAGCCGCTCCGCGGCATGTGGGATCTTCCCGGACCGGGACACGAACCCGTGTCCCCTGCATCGGCAGGCGGACTCTCAACCACTGCGCCACCAGGGAAGCCCTGAAGACTAGCTTTTAAAGTACAAACTCTAGGATAAGGCACTGCAAACCTCAGAGATCCCACAAAAAAAAAAAAAAAAAAAAGTCATTTTAACCATTTCAAATATATTAACCCTCTGTCCACACCAGTATAAAAATTGGAAGCAAATCAACATGAAAAGTGTTTCCAATATGGAGGTGTGACAGCCTGTCTTGTTGAAATGTAGACCAATGAAACTCTGATTTATTACCTTCTCATACTCAGTTAATGTCACATGGATAATCTGCTTTGTCGATGACAAGTATGGGTAGCCACTTCTTTGCCCTACCCTCCAGGTAGCTTCATTCCGAACAGGAAGAATCTACAAACTGTCGTAAGTGCGCTAAGGGATTTTACTTCTGATAGCTCCTAGTTGCCAAAGAGCAGTCAATAAACTCCTTAGCCAAGCAGGAGGGCCCTTTACAATCTGCTTGCTGTGGATGTCCCAGCCCAAAGTATTACCTGGCAAACATGGAGCTCGGTGAATTTTTTGGGTAAACGAACCGATCTATGGCTCATGCTGTATGTGGCTGTTCGCTCACACGGGTCTGCCTCTCCCATCAGGCCCGGCTCTGATTCCAATTCCTATCCCCAGCAGCTAGGAAAGAGCGGGTACACAGGAGATGCTCAATACATGTTTGCTGAATAAATAATGATTTTTTTCCACCCTCCATGCAAGCCATGACATTTGGTTGAAATAAATGGATGTCAGTAGATATATATAATATTATGTATATATAAATAGTATATATATTTAATTTTACGAAATATTTTTGTTTCTAGATTGGGAAAACACTATCACAAGGTCTCTGTGTAGCCAAAGGGTATCCAAAGGGTATCAGCCACTTACAGAGCTCAGTATGGTAATGAGGAAAGGCATAATTTCCTGTGGCTTGACAATAATGGGACAGGAATAGCTCCAACTGCTTTGAATAGATCATGAACGTAACCTGTCCCTCTCTGTTGAGGCTCAAAGCTCTGGAGTCCTACTAAACAGAAGTGACCCAGCCGTCCGTCAGCCAGGTGCTAGGCTTACAGATATCCTCACGTGGTCGCCATTTTGCTACATTCTCTGCGGATTTCAAAATTTGAATGACTGTTTTTGCCTCTGACAATCTTAGTCAAATTGGAGAAGGAAGGTTGACAGAGGAAGGGTAAGGATTTAGCAATAAGAAATGTTTCTCTGGACAGACATAAGAAACAAACTATGGTTACCAAAGGAGAAAGCTGGGGGGAAGGGAGGGGATAAATTAGGAGTCTGGGATGAACAGATGCACACTACTATATATAAAATAGATAACCAACAAGAACCTACTGTATAGCACAGGGAATTCTACTCAATATTTTGTAATAATCTATAAGGGAAAAGAATCTGAAAAAGAATAGATATATATGTATATATAACTGAATCGCTTTGCTGTACACCTGAAACCAACACAACATTGTAAATCAACCATACTTCAATAAAATAAAGTTCAAAAAAAAAAGAGAAGTGTTTCTCTGGAAATCCAGCATCTCAATGATAAAATCCTAGAAAAAGATAGATTTTAAAATAATACCCAGGCAGTCCATTCCTAAGTCTTGGGCATTCCTCATAAAGGACTGTCAAAAGATAAGAGGCAGGAGTTATTATGCCCAATCTTTCTATGCTGATAAAATTTTTGATTGTGATGCAAAGAATCAGGTGGTTTCCATCAAATGTCACTCACCGTTGAGTTTTCGAAGAGATTTGAATGGAATCATTATAGAGACATTTGGAAAAAAGTCCACACCAAAGCAGAGCAGAGATCTTCGCACTCATTTGAAAATACAAAGCCCTTAGGTTTGACATTCACCCTAAAAATGGAAAAGAATAACTTCTTAGCATTTTCCACTCAAGTTTAGATGAAAAGGGCATCTTAAGCCAAGGGAAGACACGCAAGGGCAGGGACTACACTTTTTTTTTTTTTTCGGTACTTGGGCCTCTCACCGCTGCGGCCTCTCCCGCTGCGGAGCACAGGCTCCGGACGCACAGGCCCAGCGGCCACGGCTCAGACCCAGCCGCTCCGCGGCATGTGGGATCTTCCCGGACCGGGGCACGAACCCGTGTCCCCTGCATCGGCAGGTGGACTCTCAACCACTGCGCCACCAGGGAAGCCCAGGGACTACATTTTATTTACGACTCTCTCTGTGGCAAATAAAATACCTGGCATGTACTGGGCAGGCAATAAACACCCGTGGAGTGAACGAATGACCCAGTGCTCTGGCTTATTAATATGTAGTTGACTGTAAGCGTTGATTCAAAATCAACACATCAAGGATGGTGGCAAATTAGCATTCAAAGCTCTTTAAATATATCTGTAAAAGAATTCTTAAATTTCACAAATGGAGGTTCCATATTACCTGTGAATTTCCTTTTACTATATTTAGGTGGATATTAGCAATAAGTATGGAGAAGAATGTCCCTGTATAGTCTCCTTGATTAAAATATATATATATATATTAAATATATATATTTTAAAAATTGTGCTATCATGATATTCACATACTCAAAAGTATGTTCAAAAACATGTTAAATGAGGTCCCCATCAATTAAGAGGGGAAGAGAGTCTGTTGAAGCTCTAGTATTGGTCCACTACTATGCAAGGCATACTATTGGATGTAGAAGAAAAAATACACAAATGTGGGGCTTCCCTGGTGGCGCAGTGGTTGAGAGTCCGCCTGCCGATGCAGGGGACACGGGTTCGTGCCCCGGTCCGGGAAGATCCCACATGCCACAGAGTGGCTAGGCTCGTGAGCCATGGTAAATATAGGTCTTAGAAACGTATCTTCTTCTTAGCTTATTTCATGGCACATCTGTGTCTTAAATTTCTAATTTAGGCCCTTCTCCTTACGTGCAAATAAAATATAGTTGAACTTCAAATTGATGTTTCATTCTCTTAGATTGGTGTGTAAGCCACTCTCAAAAAGTGTGAAGCGCTTTCAATGCTATGAAAAACAATGTTTTCAGTTTGCATTATTGAACTAAAAAAAGGCTCAAGATTTTTCTTTTTCTTTTTTTGGCCATAATGTTGTTTCTAAAACGTGCTGCTCTTTCTAGTAAGCACAAAATTGGCCCCATATGTTTAGAAAGAATAGAAAATTATTTCATTTTGTGTCTTGAGGTGTTAAGATGCTTCTTTAGGGAAATAAAGAGATCTTCCCGGTATATTTCAAGGAGATATTATCTAACTCACAGGACTGTGGGAGGGGATGCAATGATTATCAGGGGTGGAAGAGACCCTGCACCGGGGAGGGTTTGTTAAGACTTCGTATGCCTCCCCCCAGCTCCCCCATATACACAATCCTCAGAGATACAGCCGCAAAGCTATGCTGCTCTCCTGGAAGAATAAAGTAGCTTGAAAATTCCATCCATCGGAAGACTGAAAAGTGTGGCTGTGATGGTTGAGGAATTTGTGAGGTTTAGAAATGAAAAGACTGTCCCAAACAAGCCTCTTTTACTTCCTCTCTTTTTGCTTTATTCTTCCTGCTCAATTCAAAGTTTGCTTAAGTCCCAGCCCAGACCGGACTGTATGACCTTCGGCTTGAACATAAGCTCCCTTGGCCTGTTTCCTCCTGGGGGTTTGCGGGGGGAGAGAGTCGAAGATGCGGTGGCTAGGGTCTCCTGCAATTGGAAGGATCCCTCATTCTAACGGTGACCCTCAGGTCCCCTTCGTGCTTGTGAAAAACATTGTCCACTCGAAACTCCTCAATAGCAGAGGTATAAATCCCCATACTGATTCATAAATACTCCAGCCATCTGGGAAGACCCTCTCTTGGGAAGAAAAAAGAACTCTCTTCCCCCATCAAAAAAAAAAAAAAGCAGCCTCTCCTCCCCACTCCCACCCTGCATCCGTGTCCAGGTGCAGCAGTGAGGTGTATACAACGTGATACATGCAGAAGCTTGTCAATTTCCCCATACCACACACCAAGCGCCAATCCTTACCAGATTTTTCATTTTCTTTCTTTTTTTTGGGGGGGGCTACGTTTGAGCTTTGTCCTCCCAGGAGAAAGGTCTTCTCTCCCATCACTTGATTTCATGATTCACCCCTTTCCCCTTAACGCTCACTTTTATTTAAAAACTGAGGAACAGTCGAGTTGTGTGCATTCCTTACAATCTGATTTCATCTCTGCATTGTTTGAAAAATGCACAGAGCAAACAGCTACGTGGGCTTGGTTTATCTGTGTGCCATGGACATTTTCATTTTGCCCACACCCTTCCTTACAGGCAGGAGGAGAAAGTGCAGGGCTGGAGGGCCAGGCTCCACCTTGAGAAGGCTCCCAGACCTCTGTGTGCTCACTGCTCTTTTCTCGATGAATCCAGCAGGCAGAGGCCTCTCAGGTTTGGCAGTTGCCTGCGCACATCCCCTTTCCTTGCAATGCAGAGTCTTCTAGGTGATGGTCTGGTTGATTGTCTAAACCACAGATAAATGGTTTCCTGTGCATTTCTCAAAATAAGTGTGGAGCCAAGGAGATGAAATCAACCGGCTTAATAATCATCAGCAATTTGCCCTCCACCCTCTCCTTAAAATTGGATATTTTTGCAAGTCAGTTGTGGGGGCGGGGGGCGTGACGGCAGACGAGTTTAACATTTGCATTGTAAATCTTAGCTAGCTTTGCTGAGCTATTAGATCAACTGTCACTAAATGCTTTTTCCACTTAGTAAAATTAACTTACTCTTGAAAAATTTGCACCCTTCCTTATATGAGGGAAGAATCCATTAAAGACATTTGTTAAGACATCACTTTTCCTTTAAAAACTTGGTACTCTTATTTCCCTCTTTCTGCACATTAAACGCCCCCCAAAACAAGGGCTTGGCTTTTACCCACCACTGAAAATAGGCATTTCAAATGATTGAGAAGTTATCAAGGACTCAACGAAGGTAAGGCCTGACTGTAGGTGAGCCAATTAAATCCTATCAGATTTAAACAGCACAAATTCCATTCTTGTCCGGCTGGTGTCCTTTAAATCCGAAGACAGTTTTCAGTATCCAAGTTGAGAATTAAGTCATATTCATTAACCGTTAAGTGCACTTATAAAAGCCATCTTAAATATTGAATTTGAACCAGCCGTTAGACAAAGAGGAAGCACATATCTTCAATCCTTTTATAAAGTAGCTGTTAAAAATGTCATTTTCTCCTTATCTGACAGGACTGATAATTGTCTAAATAACTCAAGTTTGACACCTGAAAGTGTGCTGTGACTTACCACCACCTTCATTTTCTTGATCAGATACAATAAATTCAGTGTCGGCTTAACAAATAACAGACCCTTCAACAGTTAAGCACTGCAAACAAAGTTCGCGTTCAACGCTAGATACTAGGAATTCAATGACCCTAAGAAAATGATCTAATTACCTAGTGTAGACGAGCTATTTCACATACCTGGATGAAACCCATTTCTGTGTCGTTTTGCCCAAATGACCAGGTGTTTGTCATCTATCGCTCCCCAGGGCACCCACTTGACCCTTTTGCAAAGGTTTCATCTGAATGAGCCGCTCCTTTCAGAGACCATACCGTCACACCAGCCAGGTTTTAAAACTTTTTATTTGCATATTAAAAAAATTGTGCATTCCAATAATTAAAATCATTTGAACAACAACAAAAAAAAATGGCACTGATTAAACTGCATTTTACAGCCCGCAGGACACCCTGGACCAGCTTGCTCTTTACTCTAGATTTCACTGTCGTCCCACCCAGCCTCCTTCACCAACATGCAAGTTCTTTTCCTTCCCTGCCAGCCAGACAGGCGGATGGGAAGCAGGCGCGGCCTTCGTTGTCAGTAGTTCTCCATTCTTTGATGTGAAAAAGGGCAGCACAGTCATTTAAACTTGATCCAACCTCTTTGCATCTTACAAAGTTAAACAGCTAAAAGAAGTAAAATAAGAAGGCAATGCTCGTGGAATGTACAGTGCATATTGGCGGTGCACGCCTCATTACGACTCGCCTGCTTGCTTCTCCTGTTCAATCGCTGCGACCGGAAAAGAAAAAGACAAAAAAAAAAGATGGAGGGGGCTGGAGATGCGAATTCAGTATAGCCGAGCATAGGATTTCAGTACTTTCGTTTAAAGACATCTCTCCTCATCAGACAAATTTCTACAAGCACAAATAGGCACTCCACCATGAAATATTTATGTGATATACATTTGAACAGAGAAAAGGATAAAAGCATTTGCATATTAATACGGTATATTAAACGCTCAATGATTAGATTATTAAAGCCCCGCGTTTGTTGGCTGCGAGGCAATTTTCAATTAACCTTTCCATGCCGCGTGAATCACAAAACTGTCAGCTCCTCCCCCGCACTTCGTGCACCCACCCCAATTCTCCCAGCCCCTCCCATCCTCTCCGACCCACCCCGCCACTCCCGCTCGGCCTTTTCTAAAGAAGGGGGGTGGGAGGGAGGCTTACTTTCTTGTGAAGGCAGTGGATTTTTCTCTTTCGTTTCTGTTTTCTTCAGTTTCGACTTATCGAATTTCTCAATCTCAGCCATATCGGGTTTGTCAGACATGGCTGCAGAGGAAGCTGCAGGTACAAAGCCAAGAGCGAGATTGAGGGCGGGCCACCTACCCTCGTCTCTCCCGACTCAGAAACGCGCCTCTGCCCTCCTGTCTCCTGCCGGAAAACCCACTTTGCCACCTTCCGCTTTCATTCAGGGCTAAAGATCATCCTCTTTCTACAGGAGAAAGAGAGAGCCCCCCCTCCCCGCCTTTAGTATTTCAAAACGCGGAGGGTTAAATTGGGAAGATCGCCCACACAAGGAGGCCGAATCTTTCAAAACAGTGAAATTAACCACTGTGGGTTTGTTACTTGCAGTGTTTCAACATTAGAGAAAAGTGAAACCATTTCAAGCTTAAGGGGAATAAAATCGACTTAGAGTTCTTAAAATGAAGCCAAGGCTGCACAAAATGTTTCCGTTTTCTATACGTGGCCTCTTCCCCAAAGATGCGAGCCGTCCTGCTTTCTTCTCTGCTCACAAAGGCGGCAGCTGCTGCCGGGCGCCACCGACCACCGCCCTACCCGCTTCCTTCCTTTCGCTCAACAATGGAGCCAGCCGCACACAAAGCTGTCCCCACACCCTCTAGATCAACGCTGATCTGCATTTAGGAGCGACTCCGCAGCTCTGCACACATCCCCCTGCAAGAAGGGCGTTTTAAACATTTCATAATACAGCCCAGCCGTCTTAAACCTAAACAGATACAGCCCACGAAGCCATCGGAGGCGAGAGAAAAAATGTGACTGTGAAGCTCCGGGCCTTGGTGGGTGTGAGCCGGAACAAAGGATCTTTCTGTTCCTGATTCATCATCGCCTAAGAAGCGATGCAGAATGCTTTTCTTTGGGCAGGGGGGAGGAAAGAAAAAAAAATGTTCCCTTCGAAGCTGCCATAGCAAAACGCGAAATTTTTAAATATTTAAAAAACAAAAAATCACCGAGTTCCCGACCCCGTTACCCAGCATCTGGAAGGGTCCAGCACCCCCAAGCTCCCCAGGGGCCGCCTTTCTCAGGAGGACCACTCTTGCTCGGCTTCACGGATGCGGGCGCGGGGCGGGAAGGGGAGCAAAGGGCAGGAGGCAGGGGCCCCCGGGCTCACCGGAGCGAGTTACGAGCGAACGAGGTCCGACCTGCGCAGTGGTCGCCGCCGAGTGCCGGGCAGGGCCCGGCGGGCGCCGCTATATGCGCGTTCCTATGTAAATGAGGTGACGTCACCGCCGGCGCGCTTAACTCCTTCGCGCCGCGTCTCCGGAACGGCGTCCGGGGCCTGCCTGGCGTTGGGGGCCCACACCCTGTGTCCACCCACGCACCTAACCGCAGCGAGGGCGGAAAAATAAAACGCGCAAAGCCCACCCTGCAACACTTCCTTCATAGTACATTCCCCCAGCCCCTTATGTCTGTTCTGTCATCATGGATTTTTGCAGCAGCCGCGCAAACCTGTTCTTGGGGACCGGAGCGTGATAACTAAGGGCCTGGGTGGTACCTAGGGGGGACTGGCATTCCTTTACTACGAAGCTGCCTTTGTCCGTTGCAGACATCCCCAAGCCAGGGTGCGGTGTCCCTCGCCCCAGGGCCTCGCCCACTGCAGCGGTGCGATTCCCGTGATTTCAGCTTTCAGGCCAGTGGAAGCCCTACGCCCCACCCCGGCCTTCTTTGTCTTCTCGCTGGCATTCTCCTAGACTTGGGTGGGAAGTAAAGCACCCTTAAGTGATTAAAAAAAAAAAGTTTTCTCACTGTAACATGCATATTTTTTAAAATGCTGTAAGTTTGGTTAGCACCCAAATCAAATAACCGGAATATTTGCGGGTTGGCGGTGAATTTACCGGGAGTTTATAGAGTACATCGCCTGCCTCTTAGGAAAATAAGTCAAGTTCAAGCTCTGCTATTGACTTGCTGCCGGACAAGGAAGAAGTTCTTTTACTTTCCTGTTCCTGATTTTCCTAAATTACAAAAGTGATTGCCAAGGAGGCCCAGGTGGAAGGCCAGAGACTGCACTCCCATTATCTCTAAAACCTGAAGATTCAATTTAAAAATCGAACTCCGTATTTTGAAAGGCGTCTTTCGAGCAGGATTCCATTTTGAAGTGCGTTTCTGAGTTACATCCGGAAATATGGGAGCTCTAGGTAGAGAGCAGTTTTCAAAATGGCACCTGACTCTGAATACTAGGGACCCCTCCCCTTGGGCTGAAATCAGTTACAAATACCATGGGGGGAGGAGAGGGGAGCTGCACATGGCCTGTGAAGGGAAAAAGGGCCAGGTTGTGAGAGTTTTCACATAAAGCAGTATGCACAAAACTCCTTCCCCCTCCCTGCGTCCTCAGAAAATGTTTCCAGAAACCCCTTGCTAATCTTGTTTATGGCCGAGGCTTTTGTCTCACTGGGGGTTGGAGTCAATTGTTATATAGACCCATGAAAGCCACTGCAGGAGCACCTCCGACTTCCCCATTTCTGCGTCCACTAGACTTCCTTCTTCCTGGGGAAGGAGGGGTACAGGGTGGGCAGGGGCAGGTGACCGTCTGGTTCCCCAGTTCACACTCTGCTGGGTTGCTGTCATTCTGCTCCCGAATGAGGGCACTGGACTTTTTCATGCAGGCACAGTATGTCATCTCTCTGGTTACACGTTCCCCTGACCCTCCCCTAGTTGACTGGCCCAAGAGTCCACTTCATCGTGGAAACTCAGGAAGGAGCGTGCAGGGTGGATTTTTGGCCCTTTGCAGCCGTCAGGTGCTTCGTGCCGACACCATTTCTGTTGGGTTCTGGGAGTCCATTTCCCCTCACCCAGCTGCTGTCAAGAATCACTTCTCTCCTCCCCGAGTGTCCGGATGACACAGGTACGACACTAAGGCTCCCTGCTTCTCCCCAAGGCCTTCTCCTCAGGCCTTGCAGCGCAATGTCTCCGAAGGCAGTGGCGGAGTAGAAATTTGTAAACCCTGGACCATTTTTCTAGTTAGGCAACAAGCAGCCTTCCTTCTGCCTGTCTCTTTAGAAATGGATAGAGAGGAAGGGAAAGAGAAGGAAGCAACTCCCTGAAAGGAAGAGTGGCTGCCATGTTAGGCTTGACTTGTGGACTTTCCGGGGGTTCTAGGAAGAATGGAACGGGCAGCGGGAGGCAGATGGCAGCAAATGCGAACTCAAGGAATATTCCCGAGAGTTGTGTGACCCTGGCCTGTGAATTAATTTTTCTGTGTATTTTCTCATCTGTGAAATGGGATCATTCAGTACGTAACCTTCCACGGTTGCTGGGAGGCTGAAATGCTTCAGACAGTGTGTGACAGTGTTGTTACTGTTTTGCTTTGTATTATTATTTAGGATGGAGGGTTGAGGAAAAAATCCTCAGTGTTTGGAATTAATTGCACATTTTAGATGTTTTTCTATTAGTTCTTTCTCTTTTAAAGTACCAGTTTACTGAGATTTTCATGAGATCTTTTGCTAATTTTTCAGCCAATAAAATTTCAGTCAGGCATTGTAATAGCGGCTTTATGTTTGTTTTCGCCTTTCATGACCAGGGCCTTTCCATGAGGAGAGGTTTACAGATACGGAAACTGAGGCTTAGAGATCCAGCATTGGGATAACTCAGCGAGTAGCCACTCTGTACTATTGACGCTGAGAAAATTCTTCACCTCCGGGGCGGCCCTGGGTCTGCACCTGAGGCTCACCAGGAAGAGTGGGAGGCAGGCTGCCTTGTGTCTCACAATGCCTGGTACATAGTAGTTGCTCAGTTAGCAGTGAAGGATGGCATGGAACTGACTGGCTTCAGTGAGGAAGGTCCTTGCACCTGGCTCAGCCCCACTCTGCACCTGTGACTCTAGCCACCTTGCTTTCTTCTCTTCAGTCCTTCCAGTATTGATGCTTCAGACGTCAGAGATAATTCCTGCCTCCTGGAAGCTACTGTCTACAATGGGTTAGCACGTGCTGGGTCACCAGTTCTCAATCCCAAGAAAAGACAGAGGCTTGGAGGGACAAAAGAACGGCGGCGTGTGCCCGGGGCTCAGGACTCTCCAGCGAAAGCTGACTAGACAGCCCACCTGAGCCAGGCCCTGTCTTCCTCTCCTCGGGAGCCCACAGACCCCGTGAAAACGGTGCCAAGAGAGCCTGCGCTGGAAGGTGGCCACGTCGAAGCCTGGGCCCAGTGGAACCAGGAAGCGGTGTCAGGGCACACTGTGTTTTATGTTGCTTTCCAGGGCGGGCCGGGGACAGATTTGTAGCTATTTCCAAAGCTGGGGAAACAGCCCTTGAAATCTGAGTTCAGGAAAATTCATCCTATTATTTTTAACCTATTACATTTTACGCAAGGCACTGGCCAGAGAAGAGGAGGGGCAACGGGGACTAAGCAAGGCTCCCAACTCTTTGCTTTCTCAGGCCCAGGTCCCTTTGTCCACTTTTCAGGGCCTCCTTCCATCTGCCCCCACCTGCCTCAAGCCACTTTCCCGTGACCCTGCAAGCTCCATCTGTTCATCTAAATCTCCTTAAAGACCCAGCCCGAGTCCAGCCTTGATGACAGGGAGGTGATATTTAGTGGCCTAGCTGTATGTCAGACCCTCTGTTGAAGCCCTTTGTGTACAACATCTGATTCAGTTCTCACCCTGTGTAGTGGCTGCAAATATCCCCATTTTACTGCTGAAGAAACTGAGGCTCAGAGAATTGAAGCAACTTGCTCAACATCTATCTACCAAGTCTACGTGCTCTCACGGAGGCCCGTCTCTACTAGGATTCCCAGCTCGGCGGGGGTCCACGTTGTATTCCATGCAATGGAACAGAAGGCTCCCTCAGCTAGGGGGCTAAAGAGGAGGGGGCAGTACCAGGAGAGCAGGGAGGGTCAAAGGACAATCTCGAAAATGTCGGACCCTGGGCTGCTCAACTTTCCTGTCCACTTTGTTGATCTGATGGAATCTTAGAGCCAAGGGGAACTTACAGGGGATCTCATTCAACCCGGTTCCCTTCTGTGGCTTGAATTCACCTCTACGACATCCCCTCAAGTGGTTCCTCAGCCCCCTCACAGCAATGGCAACAAAAAGAAGGCAGAGAACCTTTGAGTACATGCAGGGGGCGAGGAGTAGCTTCCTTTAGCCTGGGGCTTGCATTGAGTGAGAGAAACTGACAGAGGAAATAATGTGGAGAGGCAGGCAGGGGCCAGATAACAATAACAACAATAACAATAATAACAACAAGAACCACCACAACAAAAGCAACTGCGCAGCAGTCCTGACCATAATAATAGCAAACATTTCTTGAGGGCTTACCATAAAGGGGGGAGCTTTCCATGTGTAATCTCCCCAAATCCTTGCAGGCATCTCTGACAGAGGCACCCGAAGGCCCCCCATTTTGCAGGTGAGGGAGTCTTGGAGAATCAGATAACTTACCCCAAACCACACAGTGAAAGCCTGAGGCAGTGTCTGAACCCGGACTGGCCGGCCTAGAAGCTGCCTCATTTAAACACTACAGTTTTCTAGAATCCTACCCTAAGGCCTTTAGACTTTCGTTCTGTAGGCCACATCAGGGTAAAGTTATATATTCCATCTCAAGAAACCATCCAAGGTTTCCATCATTAAAACTTTTAAGCGTAGATATCATAGTAATAGATCGTATCGGTTAAAAATTTGCCTGCTCCAATTTTCAAATGATTTCATTACAGACACCCAATCTGCCCTTTGCCTGCTCCTACATAGCCTGGCACGCTCGCAATAAAGGGGATTCTTTATCTTGAACAGTGGCGTTTTCACACAGCTTTTCACTACTTTAATATTTTTCCCAGCAGTCATTCATATTACAACGGTTAAAACAAAATTAGTAGGTCAAACAACGTATCGGAAGGGGGGGGCACTGACAGCCTCCTGTGTTAAAAATGAAACTATTTATTCCGTTGTGAAGCAGAACTATCATTAGCAAGTAATAAGTGTTCATATGTTGTAATGTGCTTCTTCGCTGGGCGTCAAAGCTTTTCTGTAGCATATAGTTCCCAGGTCGTCAGCAGAAGGTGGTTAATGGCTTTGTGGGGAGAAAAATGAAGCTCAGGTGGGCAATGGACAAGTGGCCCAAATTTGGGGGGACACCTCACATGGGCTGACACCTTCGTGGCTGACCCTGACCATTTCCCCTCCCCGAGGCTGGTTTCTTGGGCCTGTGACCCGTGTTGTCGCACAAGGCCCCACCCTCACAGAGGCCCTGTGCTTAGCTTAATGCTCTGCTGCTGCCATCTTG